AGGCTTACCCAACTGAGCCACCCAGGCATCCCAATAAATAAAAATAAAATCTTTTAAAAGACTACAACAACAAAAACCTCTTCTTTTTTAATACTTTTTATTTATTTGTGTGACAGAGAGAGATAGGGAGAGAAGAAACATAAGCAGGGAGAGAGGAAGAGGGAAAGATTTTATGTATTTATTTGAGAGAGAGCGAGCATGTGCGGTGGGAGCGGGGGAAGTGGGAGAAGGAGAAGCAGCTTTCCCACCAGTGGGGAGTCCCATGTGGGGCTGGATCCCACAACCCTGGGATTATGACCTGAGCTGAAGGCAGACATTTGACTGAGCCACCCAGGTGCCCAGAAGACCCCTCTTCCAAGCAGATTTCTAAACCCTTCTACCGAAATTATTGAGTCGCATGGGGAGAGCATGGGGTCCCCAAGAGGTCTTATCAGAAGCCATTTAAGTCATGAATACCCCTCATTGGCATCACCCCAGAAGATATTTCATGTTTGATAAACTTGAGCCTGGCCTTCCCTGAGGGTCTAAGGGAAGGAGGCCGAGAAGAACTTCAGATCACAGTCTAGTCCCCAAATTTCCTCAACAAAAGATTACTGAGCATCTACTATGTGACTGGCATTATGCCAGGTGTCAGGCAAAGCAGATTTAGTCCCTGCCCTCAGGAGGCCTGGATATCCATACACATGTAAAATTGCACCTGTGAAAAAGAAAACACAAGCTACAGTCTGAGAGAAAATATTTGCAAAGTCGGGCGCTTGGGTGGCTCTGTTGTTAAGCATCCGCCTTCGGCTCAGGTCTTGCTGGGGCTCTGGAATGGAGCCCGGCATCAGGCTTCCTGCTCACGGGGAAGCCTGCTTCTCCCTCTCCCCCTGCTTGTGTTTCTTCTCTCGCAAATGAAAATAAAATCTCAAAAACAAAAAAATAAAAATAAAAAGATAAAAAAGAAATAGGGGCAGCGCCTGGGTGGCTCAGTCGTTAAGGGTCTGCCTCTGCTCTGACTCATGATCTCAGGGTCCTGGGATAAGCCCCACAGCAGCCTCCCTGGCTAGCAGGGGGTCTTCTTCTCCCTCTGCTCCTCCCCCCGCTCATGCACACACACACTCTCTCTCTCAAATAAATAAATCTTAAAAAAATAAAAATAAACTCGGACTTGTGTTTGAGAAGATCCCTTTGGGTGCACTGTACTTGGATGGGGGACCCGAGAGCCAGCAGAGCGACCTGACCTGTCAGGCACTGGACCAGGCTTAGGGCAGCAGCTTGCTCCAGGGTGGGATGGAGAGAGGGAAGTGAACCCCTTTTAGAACCATCTGGGGCAGCTGAGTTGGGTGGGCGACGGAGCAGATATGGGGGTTAAGAGGCAGCTGACACCGAGCTGGGGATTCTGGAGAACAAGATCACAGTATTTGTTTCCAAGGAGCTTACAGTCTAGCAGGGGAGACAGAGACCAATGGGTGGAAGAGTGTGCTAAGCCAGCCCCTGGTCCCGGGCTGAGCTGGGACGCACACAAGAGGACATGACCAGTGCCACGGGGGGCCTCACAGAAGGAATGACAGGGGTCGGGAGACAGGAAGCTGTGAAGCTATCTGGAAAAAAAAACTGCACCTTGCTCCTCCAGGTGTGGTCAGCAACCTGATCCCAACACCTGAGAGCTTGTTGGAAATGCAGCATCTCGGGCCCCATGGCTTAATGCCAACCACGCGTGTGCATTTCACAAGCTCCCGGGCTCAAGGGTTCAAGTATGAGAAGCGCAGCTCTCATCATAGGTCAGGCGCACCCGGTCTTCCATCTGGCTCTGCATTCGGTGCCAGTGAGGTCTGGGGCGGGTTCACTGCTCTAAACTTCCTTTTCTCTTCTGGGGAATGGGAATAATACCACCACCTACCTTGGAGGCGCTTGAAGGATGAATGAGATCATGAAAAGTACCGAGGTTGGTATGTGGCAACGAGTAAGTGCCCACTCTAGCTTTGAAATTTTGTTTCTAATTAGGAGAGTTTTTTGTTTGCTGTTTTGTTTTGTTTTCAGGAGAGTTTAAAAAGACCACCCAGTGAGGCGCCTGGCTGGCTCAGTCCGTGGGGCGCACAGCTCTTGATCTTGGGCTGTGAATTCAAGCCCCACATTGCGTGCAGAGAGGACTTAAAAATAAAATCTCTGGAAGAGCGCCTGGGTAGCCCAGGTGGTTAAGTGTCTGCTTTTGGCTCAGGTCATAATATCTGGGTCGGGCTCCCTGCTCAGTGAGAAGTCTGCTTCTCCCTCTCCCTCTGCCCGAAACCCTGACCCCGGCTTGTGCACTCTCTCTCAAATAATAAAATCTTTAAAAATAAATAAAAATTAAAAAATAAATAAATAAATAAAAAAGACCACCTGCCAAGTGATCCTTTGATCAAAAGGATGAATAATCTTTCTCATCATAGAAGACACACAAATTCTTTTTTTTTAATTTTTATTTATTTATTTGACAGAGATCACAAGTAGGCAGAGAGGCAGGCAGAGAGAGGGAAGCAGGCTCCCCGCCGAGCAGAGAGCATCGGGGCTCGATCCCAGGACCCTGGGATCATGACCTGAACTGAAAGCAGAGGCTTTAACCCATTGAGCCATCCAGGTGCCCCAAGACACACAAATTCTTTTAAAATCAGTGGTCTTGGGGCGCCTGGGTGGTTCAGTGGGTTAAGGCTCTGCCTTAAGCTCAGGTCATGATCTCAGGGTCCTGGGATGGAGCCCAGCATCGGGCTCTCTGCTCAGCGGGGAGCCTGCTTCCCTCTCTCTGCCTGCCTTGTGATCTGTTAAATAAATAAATAAAATCTTTTAAAATAAATAAATAAAAATAAAATGAGTGGTTTCTAGGGGTGCCTGGGTGGCTCAGTCGGTTAAGTGCCTGCCTTCAGCTCAAGTCATGATCCCAGGGTCCTGGTATCAAGTTCTGGATTGGGCTCCCTACTCAGCGGGGAGCCTGCTTCTCCCTCTCCCTCTCTCCCTGCTTGTGCTCTCTTTGCCAAATAAATAAATAAAATCATTAAAAAATAAAAAATAGGGACGCTTGGGTGGCTCAATCAGTTAAGCAGCTGCCTTCGGCTCAGGTCATGATCCCAAGGTCCCAGGATCAAGTCCCACATAGGGCTCCTTGCTCAGCGGGGAGCCTTCTTCTCTCTCTGCCTCTGCCTGCTTGTGCTCCCTCTCTCTCTGACAAATATATATATTATCTTTTTTTTTAAATTTTTAAATAATAATATTTAAAAAATAAATAAAATGAGTTGTATTTCTCATCTCCTCCTGAGCCTAAGTGCTGGGGAAGAAGAAACCAGAATCTTCTAGCACTGAAGGTCCAGTCACTTTGGTGAGCAATCTGGCAGGTGCTGAAGAAAGAACAGACAGGGGCAAGCACATTCAGTGACTGGCGATTCCACTCCTGGATAGAAACCTGAGCAAAAAATTGGGGGTCACTACAATATGGCTTGCAATAGACACAGCCAGGGTCAGAAATCCTCAAAGAGCACTGATTTTAAACAGGATGGAATTTCCCCTTCCCATGAAAGCCTAGAGGTCAGCAGTGCAGGGCTGGTGGGACCTGGGCTCCTTCTCTCCTTGTCCTGTCCCAAGTGGCTTCCTTTCCCGAGATCATCTCCTGTCAGCAGCAGGAAGAAACCAAAGGAGAGGGGCTCACACTTGGCCACTTTTGGAAACACCCTGCCAGGCGCATCCCTCCCCAACTTCCACCCATGAGGCTAATTTGGCACCCGGCCACGACAGAGGCTGCCAGGAGCTGTCCTCACCGGGGGTTCTGTTACTCTGGAAGGAGGAAGAATGGAGGCAAGGGGACAATTAATGGTCTCAGTCAGTGGGGCCATAGCAGGGGTCCCACGAGGGCCAGAAAGACAGAAATCCTCAAGTAGACACAAGGTGAGTATACTCCCATTTATTGGCTAAGATTAAATACACATTTTTAATGTGTCCAAACATTAATGGATATAAAAGATCCTGGAAAAAAAAAAAAAAACGAGAGTTATACCATATTGTGGATTATTTAAATGTTATACAGGCTTCTTTCTGTTTCTCTCATATTATAAGATCAAAGGAATGTCGTATTCCAACGAAAGAAGGTTTTAGAAAGTGACATACTTTTGCCAAAATTATACCACGTTATCAGTGGACAATTGATGGCTTTATTAGTAGACAGCACTTGAGAAGACTGGCTCGTTTCGGGGTGAAAACAAAACTTGGATCTCACATGTGAAGGTGAAACCAAACGGTTTAAAAGTACCACTCAATATTCAGCAATGAGTGCAGCCCGGAATCAACCAAGGAGAACCAATGTCTCATCGTGCAGGAGACAATGCCAGCCAACGGGCACACTGGGCTGTACTGGCTGGACTTAGGCCTAGCTCGCGGCCTAAAGGTTAAAGGACAAGCTGACAAGCCAACGGCAGGAAACATAAACTATCTAAACTACTTTTAAATAAGAAAACAAAAAGCAACAAATGAGAGCACAAAACAGTTCATACACCTACATTAAAACTGAGTGTTTCTGCCTGGTGAAGGGCACCCCCTAAATAACCTGACACGAGTGCCGTCCTGAGAGCTGTGTGCACCCGTCGGGGCAGTGCACAGAAAGCAATCCCCAAAGGGGAAGAAATCCCCCCCCAATAACTGGCGATCAGATGAATGGACATTGAAACATGCCACTACCTTCCACCCAACAGACTGGCAAAAGTGAGAAAGCAGGGCAGCAACGAGCACTGGTGGGGACCTCCCCACCCCGAGGGGAGGCTCAATGACCATCGAAAGAAAAATTTGGTAGAACCATAGGAAATTAACCAGTCTGACTTGTCCTCCCATCCCCGGTGGCTATGCCGGAGAACGTTCCATGCAAGCGTGGAAGGGGACCCACGGAAGACGTCATCGTGGCTTTGTTTACGAGCCTGGGAGCTGGAGGCACCCAGCTGTCTGCCCCTTGGAGAACATGTGGGACGCCTCGGAGCCGTCCCGGCACCGAAGCGCGCGGAGAAGGAGCGACACGTGTTGAGTGAGAGAAAAAACAGCCCAAGGTCTGCAGCAGAGTAAGACCACATGTCGCAGAAGTATATCCCCACAGGCGAAAGCACATCTGACAAGGATACATTCATGTTCAAAGTGAAACGGGCTCTCGGCGTGACAGGAGGAAAACAGCGAAGAGAGAGCCCTAAGCCCGGAGAAGCCTTTCGTGGACGAGCACCCCGAGAGCCAAAGAGAAAAGCTCGGATGTGCTCGATTATGCCTTTAACAATGTGTGTGCGTCAGGAAGGCTGGCTCTCAAGGGTGCTGGGGTGAGGAAGACGTGCGAGGCTGAGAATCCACTCTGTCCTAGAGAAGGGTGACCCGCCATCTGCCCTGCTTGCGTGACCGTGTGTGTGCGCTGGCTCAGTCCCGCAACTGGGCACGTGTATGCCTCCAGCCAGCTTCATCCGCTACCCGCTGAGGGCCACTGCGGGTCTCAGGCAGGGCAGAAACCCCAGGCCTGGAATTCGCCCCCCTCCCCCGCCATGTATTTCCACTTGCTCTAAATCGGAGCGGTTTCATACAACAGACATTTTGAGGAAGGAAAGGCTGGGGATGAGGAATACATTCTCTGGGTCCCGGGGGGCTGCCAATGCAGCATACCACGCGGATGGAGTCACAGTCCCCCCAGGGTGACAACAACCACCACACAGCTAACCAGGGAACTACAGGCTTGAAACCAGGGTCAATGGAGAGGGGTGTCAAAGGTCACTGCTCAATTTTGCATCAGCTTAAGGATAAACCCATATAGGGCCAAAAGGGGCAGCTGTTCTCCCCAAGTCCAGGCTGGGCCTCAGGGGGGGTTTTCAGCCCCAGACCTCGATGAGGTCCCCGGATTCCATGCCCAGATCAGCAGGCAGCTCCTTGCCTGAAAGCTTTGTCCCATCAAAGAAGAAAGAGAGCTTGTGGCCTGAGAGTCCCATGGCCTCCTCGTATTGGGACATGAGGTTCTTGAGAGGAGAGTCCTGGACAGAGAGGGAAAAAATGAAGGTTATGAATTTGAAAAGAGGGGGCAGTACCTGGCGGGCTCAGTCAGGAGAGCATGCGACTCTTGATCTTGGGGTCTTGGGGTCGTGAGTTTAAGCCCTACACTGGGTGTAGAGATTACTTAAAAACAAAGCTTAAGGTGTGCCTGGGTGGCTCGCTGGGTTAAGCCTCCGCCTTCGGCTCAGGTCATGATCTCAGGGTCCTGGGATTGAACCCCACTTGGGCTCTCTGCTCAGCAGGGACCCTGATTCCTCTCTCTCTCTCTGTCTGCCTCTCTGCCTACTTGTGATCTCTCTCAAATAAATAAATAAAATCTTTAAAAAAAAAAAAAAAAAGCTTAAGGGGGCACCTGGGTGAGTCAGAAACCCAGGGTTTCGGCTGTATTCGGCTCAGGTCGTGGGATCGAGCCCTGTATCAGGCTCCACCCTTGGCACGGAGTCTGCTTGTCCCTGTCCCTCTACCCTCACCCCGCCCTTCTCTGTATCAAATAAACAAATCTTTTTTTTTTAATTTTCAGGGGCGCTTGGGTGGCTCAGTGGGTTGAGCCTCTGCCTTGGGCTCAGGTCATGATCTCAGGATCTGGGATCGAGCCCCTCATCGGGCTCTCTGCTGGGTGGGGAGCCTGCTTCCCCCTCTCTGCCTGCCTCTCTATTTGTGATCTCTCTCTGACAAAATAAATAAATAAAATCTTTAAAAAAATTTTTTTTAAATACAATAAAATCTTATTAAAAAAAAAAGAATTTGAACAGAGGAGCTGAGAACTTGTAGAGATAGACAGAGGACTCGGGACAGGGAGACCACAAGGGGAAGGCAAGTGGACAAAGAAGCCAGCACAGCTGGGCTCCTCTCTAGGGGACTGGGCCATGGAGCCCAAGGCTCAGGATGTGGGCTCTGGGTCAGGCAGGTTCTGCAAGCCCCCAGTTCCTCACATCCCAGTGCGGCATCTGTCACCTTGAAGCAGACAGCCCAGACCCCAAAGCGGAGTGAAGACGACCTGAGCTGGAGGCCAGACTCTCCCACTCTACTGATGCCTGACCCTGGGCAAGTGTTACGAATCCTCTGTGGTCCTGAGCCCCGGTGAGTGCGAGTGGGACCTTATTTGGAAACAGGGTCTTGGCAGATGTAATCGGGTTAAGAGGAGGGCACACACTCGGTGAGGGTGGGCCCCAGTGACTGATGTCCTTGCAAGAAAATGCACGCGCAGAGACACACAGGGACTGCACTACGTGACCACAGAGGCAGGAGACCAGGGTGATTCAGTGGCAGGCCACCCCCAGAAACCAGGAAGGGTTTTGCCCGGGGTCTCTGGGGGAGTGTGGGCCTGCGAAACCTTGGTGTCTGACTCCAGCTCTCCAGGACCTCAAGGGAATACATTTGGGTAAGCCACCTGGCCTGGGACATTCTGTGACAGCAAGCCTAGGAAACCAATACTTCAAGTTGCACCCCTTCTCTAGACACGCGTCCCTGTTAGTTAAATAAGGGTAACAACAGCAGTTTCCATCTAACTTGGCTGTGAAACTCACTAAGCCCCTGACCGTGAATTCTCTCTAGCATGGGGACTGTCGCTTAGAAGCCTGGCAGTTACTCTGACAGGTTTCACGGTCGCAAGGGGCCTTTCCATTTTACACAGGAGTCAGGAGATCAGAGCAAAGTTCCTGGCGCAATGGGGAGAAAGCTGAACAGCGGGCTTTTGCCAGGCTCTAGGATGGGCGGGAACCGGAACCACTCGGGACCAGAGGGAAGCCCCCTGGGTTAACTGGTGGGAGGGACAGGAGGACAGAGGGCAGGGGGAGAGGCATGCACAGCCATGCCTCCCACTCACCGGAGACAGTGAGACTTCCAGCATCTGGTGTTTCTCCTTTCCCTGCACCCGCAGCTGGAGCAGTTGGGACATCTCTGAGGTCTCGGGCGAATTTGCTAGCACCACGCAGTCTGCAGGAAGGAGGATCAGGAAGCCAGGCCTGAGCGGGGCCTAGAAGCCCGGCCAACTTCATCCCCTCCCTGTGGCGAAGGCCTCCTCCAGGCTCCACCTCCCCGCCTTCCTCTCACCGATGATGTCAGCCACTCCAAGCTTTAGTGTCCTGGGAGTAGCAGTAGGGGACAGCTCTGTCTCTCCAAAGAGCAAGAGGATCCTCCTTGGGGACACCCCGAGACGGGTGGCCATGTGGTCCACCACACGCTGTAGGGGCTCCGACTGGGGAGGGGACAAGAAGCAAAGGAGGCCACCTCCTGACGTGCCCTGCCCCACCCACCACTCCAACATGTCGCTGGCCTTTGCTACTGGCTGAGCTCCTCGGCTGTGAGCTCCATAGATTTCCCTGGAGAAGTACAGAATAAAGCCATGTCCGTATGGGGGTTGGGAAGGAAAAAGGACAATGGCGCAGACCACAGCAAAGTGGACCTCGTGCGCCCCTTGCAACAGGCCACTCTCGACAGGTCCCCAGCTCTCGCAGACGGGTGCAGCTACGTCTGCCTGGGTAAGAGAAGCCAGGAAATCACTCATGGTGCAAGCGTTGGCAATGAGCTCCTATGTTTTAAAAGCATTCTGCAGGGGTGCCCGGGTGGCTCAGTCAGTGAGGGAGTCTGCCTTCAGCTCAGGTCACGATCCTGGGGTTCTGGGACTGGGCTCCCTGCTCACTGAGGATCCGCTTCTCCTCCTGCCCCTCCCCTGGCTCATACAGCAGCACGCACACTCTCTCTCCCTCCCAAGTAAATAAAATCTTTCTTAACAAATAAATAAAGGCATTCTACATCTGCAGGGCAGACGAACAAAGATGCGCTTGCTAAAGCCATGGGCTGCATGTTTGCGCAGTCTGTTTTAGCTGCTTCCAAAGCGTGGTTATGGCTCAACCAATGGTCACTTCTGTTACCGCTCTTGTTCCGGCATCGGGCTCATCCCTACAAATATGGTCCTTTCACCAGGGAGCCAGGGGAGCTCCGAATGAATGAGTGACGCCCGTGTGCGGAAGGCTGCCATCAAAGCAAGTGCTCGTGGGAAGCACAGTGTCCGAGGGAAGGAAAGAGGGAGGGGGCTACCGAGCCAAGCCTCTCGGGATGCTTACATGGAGCACTGGAGGGTGGGTGGGCGGTCTGCCGGAGAAGGGAGGGTGAGGAAAAGACCATTGGGATAAAGGGAAGAGTGAATCCAAGGCACGGGGTTGTGGGGGTCTGGAGGGGCACCAGCAGGATGGGCGAAGCGGGACACTGTCCCCCTGTGCCTGCCCACCGTGCTCACTCCACCTACAGCTCGGGGGAACCTTCTCCCACAGGCCCTCCAGGCACTTGCCATTCTGACGGGCAGTCTAACCACATCAGCCCGGCACCGGATTTTCATCGGGAAGAGTCGGGGGCTCTCCGGAAGGGTGGGACCCTCCACCAGGACCACCTCGTCCTCTTGGTGCTGGTGATCCTGGCCCTGGCGCTCCTTGGGACTCAGGCAGGAACGGAGATCTTGGAGGCGCTTGCTCACCTCCCTGGGGTGCAGAAAGGACTCTGGGTCAGGCAGGGGGCGGCACCCGCCAAACTGCCCTTCTCTACCCCAGCGAGCCCCCTGCCCTTGGCACCTTAACTTCTGGAGTGCCCGCGTATGCTTTCTGCTTTTGGTCCTTGGCAGAGGTGAAGGCAAAGGAGAGGTGTCTTGAACCCTGCAAAGAGAAGAGAGGGCTGGGCTGGAGGAAGAGGAGGGGACCCCAACCCAGTATCTCCCCTCATGAGCTATGGACCACTGTGGAGCAAGATGGGGAGAGCTCGAACCAAAAGGGAGCATCTTCTAGCAACATCACCTTGTGGACAGGGGAAGGTAAAGTCAGGGAAAATCTGAGCCCTCATTTTTATACTTACATGACCTAAATATTGGCAAGGAAAATGCCTAACACTCATTCATTCCTTCATTTGTTCATTTATGTATTTTAAATGCCTAACATTTAAGGTAAGTCACTTCCCAGGTGAGTATCTGGTAACATCCAATGGACACCAAGTACTTACTACATGCCAAGTGTTAATCTACTTGAAAATTTTGACACAGGTGCCATCGTTATCCCCATTTTCTAGAAAAGGGAAGTGAACCACAGAGCTAGTTAAAGAGACAGGTAGCCGGGCTTGAAACACAAGGGCCATCCCCACGGCCACACCTGTCAGAAGCAAAGATGGAACATTCCACTCCCATGGGTGGTCCTGAAGGGCCCAGCGCTCCTCCCAAGACCCTCATTCCTCACCTGAGCCTGGAGGCTCCCTCCACTCCCTCCATCCCTTCTCCTTACCCTTTCAGGAGCCACCTGAGGATCCCGCCCGCACCTCACCCCAGCCCTCGGGCTCCCTTTCTGCTGGGGGGTGGGGGGCAGTGCCCCGGCCTCACTCACAGAAATGCCTCCTTTGTCTTCTCTTCTGCATCCTTACGCCTGAGCTTCTTCTTCCAGGGAGACTCTGGAAACAGGGCATCCTCAGCATGGGGACTGCTGGAATCTGCCATATCCATCTCTGGGGACAGAGAAGGAAAAGCGGATGAGGTCAACAAAGGGAGGGCAGCAAGAGGCCAAGCAAAGGCATGCCAGGGACTTCTTGAGGTCCCAGGAAAGGAGCAGACCGAGGAGCCCCAATATGCGTGCACGCACACACACACATGCACACACACACACGCACACACACACACACACACACAACCGCGCAGTAACGCTGGGGAAGTGCTGGCGGGGTGTGAGTCACAGGGAAATGCCTGCTGCAGAGAAAAGGACGAGCCGGAGTCTGGCAGAGCAAGAGAGTCTGAGTCTCGCACTAAGGCATGAGCCTGCGTGGTGAGGGTGGACAGTCACAATGTGACCCTCTCCAGTTAAGCCATGATTCACTTAATCTCTTCTCACTTTTTTGATCAGCTGCATCCCACAAATACAAAATAAACACAACCTAGGAAACACTTACCTAATACACATGTACTCCTTATTACATGTGTATGTACTATTTATGTATGTGATAAAACATACTTCAAACCAGATGCTGGCATTTTTTTTAAAAAATGGTCCTCTTGGGGGACCTGGGTGGCTCAGTTAGTTAAACGTCTGCCTTCGGCTCAGGTCATAATCCCGGGGGTCCTGGGATCGAGTTCCACATTGAGCTCCCTGGTCAGCAAGGAGTCTGCTTCTCCCTCTCCCTGTCCCTCTGTGTGCTCTCTCAAATAAATAAATCTTAAAACAAACAGACAAACAAAAGTTCCTCTTATGTCCTTCCTGTACCCGACTGGATGGGCAGAGCAAGACTATGGGGTAGGGGGTGGCGGGGCGCAGGGAGGGAAGGAAGTAGAGGTTAAGTACAGGTCCTCTGAGCCTGTATTTCTCAAATTTCCTCCATGTGGGCATCACTATCACATCATGCCATCCATACCTCTATAATGTTGAAGACCTTTCTTTAAAACCCTCACTGTAACTAGGATTTCTTGTAATGGGAAACTAGAGATTTATTTTAGAACATCGAGGATCTTTCCCATTTTGTTAGCCACCCACAAAGGATCATCATTAACCACAAAAATAAATATAAATACTGCAAAAACAAAGCAATGATAAATAAGTCCTAGATCAGTGGTTCTCGACCCAGGGGACATGTGGCAATGTCTCAAGACAATTTCTGTTGTCACAGTGAGGGGGAGAGGGGGTTGGAGCGTGTGATACCAGCCTCTGGTGGGCAGAGGTCAGGATGCTGCCAAACATCCCACAATGCCCAGGACAGCTCCACACGGAGAATTGCTCCGCCCAAATGTCAGCAGTGCCGAGGCTGAGACATCCTGTCCTCGATAAATGTGGCAGCTGCTAGAGACCCGAGATTCCGCCTTTCTGACAAGCTCCTGGAAGATGCCCAGCACTACTAGGCCTACATGTGGAGCAAGGGCAGAGGGACCCTTGGACTTATACACTCCAGGTACTGTCCTAAAGCATAAATGTAGCCCAAGAGAGGGCTCTCTATGCATTCTCTTTAACTCTCACCAAAATCCTTTGACACGGATCCACTGTTATCCCCATTTTCCTGATGACAAAACTGAAGCACTGAGAGAGGAGCCTGCCCCAGGACACACAGCTAGCTACCAGAGGGTACAGCTGAGATTCAAACCCAGGCCAGCCGGTTCCGAAATCAGCTCCTGATCATCCTACCATGCTTGCTCATGGTGTAGAAGTCTTGGTCCAAGGTCTGCATTTGCCCACTGGATCACTTCTTTATCAAACTTGATTCCTACGTACTGCCTTTGGGTGGTTTGGAAAAGCCACATCACTGGGGGAGGACCAAGGCTGGCAGCCCTGGTAAGATTCAAAGAACACCACGCTGGCTCCAGAATGTTCCCAAGGAACTTGTTGCCGATGTACCAAGATGTTACAGATTCTCAACAGCTCCTCCTCCCCGGCCCCCAGGATTACAGAATCAGAATCTTTGGAGATGGCCTAGAAATCTGTAGATTAGCACACTCTTGTACCTATCGGGAGGGGGTTAGGGCAGTCTGGCAGCATTTCCTATGCCTCCTGGTTAACACTCCATCTCAATTCAGGACTGGAGCTTTTTTTCTGGCTAGGATGCAGGAGTCAACCCTCCCATCCCCTTCCTCTGAGCTTCAGGGGAAAATTGGCCACAGGGTTGTAAACTCCAGGAATCTTCCTCAGAGAAGTCAGCACTAGGCTCCTCTCCCTGGAAGCCCGCCCCTACCTTCCTCAGCCTCTGGGGGACAGAGTTTCAGGAGGGACTGGTGATCTGGGATGAGATGAAGGCTGCTTTTCACCTGTAAAGACAAAAGTGAATCAGTCCCAAGTCCTCCCTCCACTGAAAGGGAAAGCAAGATGACTCTTTCCTTCTTCCAGCTCTCAAGTCCAAGTCCTCTCTGGGGGAGTTAAGAGCCCAACTTCCCCAAGATCCAAAACTGAGTACTCTTACAACTACACCCCCTTTCCCCAAGACATTCTGAGGATGCAAGTTTAGTTCTTCTTTTACCTTCTTACTAGGTTGCTAGCCATCCCACTTTCTCGGAATCCTGGGAAATCCCAGATCCCTTGCTCACCCTACCACCTGGAGTCCCCAACCTTCTCTGAACTTCCATGACCCCAGCATGATCCTTAGCAATGGGCCCCAATCTCAAAAACCGACAGGCCCCAAATCCCAGTCCCAGGTTCTGCCAGCCCCTCTCTGAAGCATCAGGGATCCCGGCCCCTGAGCCTCTCTCTCTGCTCCCAACACTCCAGCTCCCGGAATCCCAAATTCCCAACACACTCCAAACCTCTTCACAATCCCTGCATCTCTCTGCCCTACCCCCTGCTTCCATTTAGTCCCCCAAGACCAACCCCAGAAGCCTAACCTCAGCCGTCCCCAAACCCAGCCCTCCGCCCTAGCCCTCCCGGGGACCCCGGCTGCACCTTCCCGGAGTACACCGGAACAACCGGTGCCTCCCCCGGATCCAGCAACAGCCGCCGCCGCCGCCTGACCGGGGCCCGCGGGGCTACGGCTGGTGGTGCGTCCGCCCCTTCGCTGTCGCTGTCGCTGTCGTCCCGGGGGACGGCCGGCCCTGAGGGCTCCGGGAGAGGGACCTCGACCGAGTCCGCAGCGCCGCGCGCCGTTGCGACCTCCAGGATATCCTCATCGCTGTCGCTGACCAAGTCCACAAACTCCGAGTCCAAGGTGCGCTGGGCTGGAGGTGGCGGGAGGCGAGAACGACGACCCCGACCGCCCCGGGACCCGCGAGCCCCTCGCCCGGCACCGCCGCCCCGAGGCCGGCGGCCCCGTTTCTTCACCCGCTCCGCCATGGCACACACCCGCCGACCACGGTTCCCCGCCTCTAGACGCCTCGTCCAGCCCCCTCCAGCGACTTCCGCCCGTCATTGGGTGAACCGTCTGCTAGTCAACGCCTCTCCCCGCCCACAACCCGTGGCTTCCCCACCCCGCCTTTTCATTGGTCGCCGCTCCCGCCCATCAAGTATCCACCACTAAAACCAAGGCGCCAAAGATTCCAACCAGCCTCGGCGCAATCAGCCTGGGTTTCGATTCGTTCCAGCTCACCCATTGGCCGGCTGCCTCCCTCTTGACCAGCCCACTCCGGTCCCATTAGAGAATGGGTACCCGGTAGGTGGGGGAGCGGGGCATCCTGGGAATTGTAGTCCTTAGGCCCTCAGAACACAAGGTGTTCGAAAGCGGCCTCCCGAATTGCCTTTCTTTTATTTATCTATCGTCTATCATTTTTTAAAAGTAATTTTTACACCCAAATTGGGGCTCAAACCCACAACCCTGAGAACAAGAGGCACCGGCTCTACCAACTGAACTACTTTTAGAAACCGGCAATAGGAGCACCTGGGTGGCTCAGTTTGTTAAGCCTCTGACTCTTACCTTAGCTCAGGTCTTAATCTTGGGGCGGTGGGCTCCACAGTGGAGGCTACTTAAAAACAAACAAGCGAACAAAACAAAAACGAAAAACCCACGGTGGAATTAGGCTTTAGCCCTCTGGGATATCCTCGTGAATTGTTCACCGCCACTAGGTTGTGGGCTAATTCCACTAATCGCCATCCCCAACCGCAGGTGCAGAATCCACATGGAACACACCCCGGCCCAGCACTTCAACCCCACTCAACTCTGAAAAGCCTTCCACGTCACACATAGCCTCCCTCGCCCCCAAAGCCTTCTGACCAGCCTCACACGCAGTCAACACAACCTGCGCCCACGCGACACCCGCCCACCGCGGACACCCCAGCACAACACGCCTCGCAAACAACACCTGGACGGGCAAATCCAGAAGAAAACTAAGAGGCTTAGTTCTCCCGGTTGAAAAGAAGGGGTGTGACTCCCCCCCTCTCCCTGCTTTTGTTTCAGAATTTTTCTTGGTCCTTTCCAAATGTATGTAAATCTCTACCGTGGCTAAGTCAGCCTCTAGGAATTCTCATAACTCAGGGACTCCGGGGAGCTGGTAGTCATCATTTTGAAATGCAAACCTCTAGGGAGGTAGCTCCGGATCTCCCCCCTCCACTCCCCCCACCCCGCCCCGTCCTGGGGAGAATAACAGCCTAACTTTGGTGGGGGCCTTGCTGCTAGATGCGAACCACCTCTGGTGATAAATAAGTGAGAAGCTTGTTTTTCTCCCCTGGAGAGAAGCCCACGGCCATGATAAAGTTAGCATGAACTCTGCAGGACAAACTGTGTTGCCAAATCCCCTTACTGGAGGCCTAGTTATTGTTTAGCTTGGAAAGAATATAGGGGTTTTGAAATTTTATGTTGAAAACAGGTTAAGGGGTTGTACCTGCTTTGGCTACCTGTAGAATTCCTTGTAAGAAACCGAAGGGAAAAAGTCGTATTTACAATGAAGTTGGGGGACACCTGGGTGGCCCAGTGGGTAGAGCATGTGACTCTTGATTTCAGTGTCCAGAGTTCAAGCCCCACCTTGGTAGTAGAGCTTGACGTGGAGCCACGAGTGGGTGGTCAAGGAAGAATTCTTGAGATGTTTTCAGTGCAAAAAGGTGATTTGTATTGTAACCCGGGGACAAGACCGGTGGGCGGAAAGAGCAGCACTTATGGCTGTAGGAAGCTGGTGGCTTATGCTTAGTGCTCAAGGGAGAGGGGATATGCAAGGAATATGAAATCATAAATGCTTTCTTCAAATTTATTTTTTTTAAAGATTTTATTTATTTTAGAGAGAGGAAAGGAGAGCGTGTGGGGTGGGGGTACAGAGGAAGAGCGAGAGAATCTCAAGCTGCCTCCTCACTGAGCACAGAGCCCCACTGGGAACCCACACGGGGCTCAGTCCCAGGAGTCTGAAATCACCACCCAAGGAGTAATCAAGAATCGGGTGCGGAACCCACTGAGCCACCCAGGCACCCATGACAGTTTTATTCTTCGGGTGAATGGCTGTAATGTGCATCACATTCTGGTTTAATGTTTTCAATAATAAAAACTGGTTTTGTGGGGACGCCTGGGTGGGTCAGTCAGTTAAGCGTCTGCCTTCGGCTCAGGTCATGATCCCAGAGTCCTGGGATCGAGCCCGGCATCAGGCTCCGTGCTCAACCGGAAGCCTGCTTCTTCCTCTGCCTACCGTGGGCTCTCTCTCTCTCTCTCTCTCTCTGGCAAATAAAGAAAATCTTTATTAAAAAACCTGTTTCTGTGTCTCTGCTACCTTGGCGGAGGTTTTCCGCCTTGGAAGATTTTGTTTTTTCTTTCCATTTCCCAACACACCCACCAACCACACCGCGCGTCTCAGAAGCTACAAAGCCTCCGCACATCTGCTTTATTTGCAACTCCTGCTCATCGCGCACCCCAGCGCGGCGCAGACATGCCCCTTCAACGCTTCACACTTCCTACATCACCTCCAACTTATGACCCCCGACACCTCGCCCCACACTTCGCACACAATACGCACACGGCATACGCCCAGTACCAGCGCCTCTCAACACGATGTTCACATCATTTGTACTTCATCCGTCCATCCATCCAGGGCAGCATCCTAGCCACCACGCACAGCCCAGTCCCTCCCCCTTCCCCATCACCTAATATCCCCAACACAGGTGCCCTATTCCGTGTAGACGGGGCCCAGCCCTATTGTAGGGGCATAGCCCCAGCAGATGGCGCTGTGTACCAGGGGACAGAGGCCCCCCAGGCTCCGGTAGAGGGGACCCTAAGGAACTCCCAGTCCCAGGAAGCCTTCAGCCACTCTTGGTCGACAGGCTGAGAGCAGAAAGATTGTACCCAAAACCCTTCTGCCAGCCTTGGGCCCCACCCAGAGGCCGCTGTCAACCATGGAGGCAGCGGGGGGTGGCCCCAAGGACCTTGGAATATCCCTCAAGCCTCCTTCTCCAACTTTGCTCAAGAGCTAGAAGTGGTTGGGGCCCCTGCCAAAAAGCAGGTCATGTGGACACAGAGAAGCTCTGGAGTGTGACTTCGTCCTGGACAAGTCTCTGCCCTGGAAGGAGCCCCAGTCCAAATGATCTTGGTGCCCTCTGGCTCCTGGCACATCATAATACTGGCTACTGGCTGAGTGCTTACTACAGCAGTGTCAAGAGCTTTCCATCTCATTTAAGACTCATTAAGGTAGGTATAATTATTATCCCTATTTTACAGACGTCTGTCTGCAGCACGAAGAACTTGAGGCACAGCTAGAGAGGGCTGAGCTGGGATTCAAACTCAGATAGTCTGATCCCAGAGGACTGGACTAGAGCTGGAATACCTCTGCGGCTCAGCTCTGCTCCCGCCCCCTTCTGCCAGACCTCCCTGGGTGGCCCAGGAGGGGCCCCATCCTCTAGGGGCTTTCCAAGGCAGTCCTTCTCTCCTCCTTCCGAACTCATTTCTGGAGATCCTGATCACCGCCACCACCTGGCTGGGTACCAGGGGCACAGAGAAGACCCGGACATGGATTCACCCCCAAGAAGGCAGGATGTTTTCACCTCGAGTCACACGCTCAGATGTTTCGGGCCCAGACAGGAAAGCTAAATGGAATAAAGGAGGTGGATGAAGGGTAATAGGGAATGGCAGGGACTGTGGCAATCGGGAGAGCTTAGGGGCGTGTGGGTGGCTCTGTCGTTAAGCGCCTGCCTTGGGCTCAGGTCATGATCCCAGGATCCTGGGATGGAGCCCCAGCTCCCTGCTCTGTGGGAAGTCTGATTCTCCCTCTCCCACTCCCCCTGCTTGTGTTCCCTCTCTTGCTGTGTCTCTGTCAAATAAATAAAATTTTATTTTAAAAATTAAAAAAATAGGGGTGCCTAGGTGGCTCAGTGGTTAAGCCATTGCCTTCAGCTCAGGTCACGGGGTCCTGGGATGGAGCCCTGCATCAGGCTCTCTGCTCAGCAGGGAGCCTCCCCCCACCCCACCCCTGCCTGCCTCTCTGCCTACTTGTGATCTCTGTTAAATAAATAAATAAAATCTTTAAAAATTTTAAAAAATAAACAAAATCTAAAAAAAGGGGAAAAAAAGCATCTGCCTTCAGCTCAGGTCATGATCTCAGGGTCCTGGGATCAAGCTCTGCATTGGTCTCTCTGTTTGGCAGGGAGCCTGCTACTCCCTTAAAAAAAAAAAAAAAAAAAAAAAGATCTTATTTATTTGACAGAGTACAAGCAGGGGGAGTGGCAGGCAGAGGCAGAGGCAGAAGCAGGCTCAAGGCAAAAATCCATCAGGGATGCTGGGATCCCAAGGATTGGGGTGTTGTTGTTTTTAAGATTTTATTTATTTGCCAGAGAAAGAAAGCGAGAGAGCACAAGAGTACAAGCAGGGGGAGGGGCAGACAGAGGAAGAAGCAGGCTCCCTGCCAAGCAAGGAGCCCAGTGCAGAGCCTATGTGGGACTCGATACCAGGACACTGGAATCATGACCTGAGCTGAAGGCAGATGCTTAACCAACTGAGCCACCCAGGCATCCCAGGATTGGGATTTTAAACCCCACATGGGGACAGAGGTTAAGCGGAGGCCCCAGGAACAGCACAGAATGGAAACCGCACACCTCGCACAAAGCTAGGAGTTGAGAATGGGCTGTCTGTCCTGGGCGCAGAAAACAAGAAAAAAGAAAAAAATCCATCCACAGACCTTGGGATACAGTACAGAAGCAAGTCACCCAACAGGGAGCGGATGGGAAAAGCCACAGCAGGAAATCAGAACCCCGAGGTTCTCCAAAGCATGGACTTGGATTCCAACCAAACCTCTGGAATGAACACCTACTCTGAGAGATTCGTGAATAAAATGGTCAGAAACCTGTGTTGCCTGTAAGATGGTGGCAGAAACCAAAGCAAGCTGGCCCCCAGGGATGGCAGAGGAGCCCAGGGGACTCAGGGGACTCCTGGA